AATCTTCCTGGACCTGACAAAGCAAGTGGCGGTACTGGGATCACACAAACCCTATGTAAGGACTAGAATACATAGTCAGTTATAAGCTAGGTGTCACCCGCTTACAACAGTGCACTACACGGCTGGTTTCCATTCGTCAGGAGTGGATAACAGAACTGGGCTCCGAAAAGGGGAGCATGGCGACTAACATTGGAAGCCTGCGCCACCGTACCACGGTAGCCTGCCACAACAGTTCATGAATCGTTGTTCGCTTTCACTTGAAAAATCTGCCATGTGAATTGATTGTGACAAGCAATCACGAATTATCTGTACTTGAAAATCAGCCATTTCGGTCGCGGGACTGCATCTATGCTTCTCACAGTGCAGCCACACAACGGTGGTTCAAAGGAGTCTGCACTCGGCCACACAGTCAATTATTCAAGGACAACCAAATCTCTACAGTGAACTTTGCATACCAGATGCGAGGCAAGTGTAATGCAACGATCAGCCTATGCCGGTCCTAGTCATGAATCACTCCCGCCGTCTTTTCACCCGCTTTTCAACATTCGCAATCGGATGCAAGAATTAACCTTTTGGCCTGTCTGAACCGAAACACTACAGCCTGTACTTTGAATGCTGATTAATAGCTTCATCATGATATCATCCGATTACTTTAAGCGTGCAGAATTTCTCGTAATTGTTCTTCAAATGTTCGATCAAACAGGTGCCGTAGATTCTCACTATATTTCACCATATCACATAGCAACAGCCAACCACAAACTGCAAGCGGCCAGGATAAGAAACACCAGCTGATTGGGGTCATCTGAGGTCAAGACGGTACGACGGCATCACCAGGTCCATAGTCGATTGTATCGAGTCTACCGTCTGCCAGCGGTGACAATGGTAGACAAGCCGAGTTTTGCTACTTATCGGTGAACGATGCTGCATGGTTTCGACCGTGCATCAATAATGTGAGTCAGTGAACTTACTGCGTTGGATACTCCCATAGAGGCCAAGGGATGCGCCGTGTTTCGATAAGTGTCAAGTCTCAACCGAGGCCACCACTTCATTTGATTCTTTGCGGACGGTACTCATTACCAGTCACTCATCCCGGATGGAGATAAGGCTCATTATCTACTCGTTTATCTTAACTGATAATCGTCAAATACGCACACTCAATCATTTGTATCCAACCGGGCAGCCAATCTGTATCGTATTTGACACCTGCCGTTGACCGGATGTGCTGGTTCACGCAGTGTCCATCTCTGCCTGCTGGGAACAAATTGTTGATGGTAACAAATCGCTGGTACCACTAACGCACCAACCCTGCTGTTCTCGAGCAATGTACCTTTCACTGAGGCATACTGGTTATCAGTAGCAAGTAAAGTAAGTTGTTCCTGATTTGGAAAGCACCATCACCGTGTAGCAAGGGAGCGAAACTCTCATTAAAGATGAGGAACCGGCGAAGTTCCTGTGTACCTGTGGTGCATCAAGACGTATTAATAATAAAAAGTACCTAGTGACAGTTTTAAATAAATGCATTTGTATCTGCTGATTTTCTTTATAGTAACAAACTTCCTGCATTTACTTAAGAGAAAAGGTTCTCAAAACCAGCACAAATGCTGAACGGGAATGCGCAACATTTGTTCGAAAATTGATATGAAGAAGCTCAATGGACGACGTAAAGTGTGTTGTGTTCAAGGAGTAACATGAAGCAGTCGCATGCTGTTAAATTGCCTCCGTTGATGTGTTTCCAAACGCCCATGTATCAGAGCATGATCTGCCACAACGCGCAGCTAACCGCTGCTCCCTCGTTCTATGTGACAGCTTCACCCCGTGACGCAACACTAGAAAACCACCGAACCCACGCGCCTCACCTCGATCCTCAAAGAGGCCGAACTCCTCACACGCTACACTTAGTATATGCGTTTCGCGTAGCACAAAAATCTGTTGTGTTTCATAAAGGTCCGAAAAGGTCACGCTTTGTGTTGCGCAGAGGCGAAAATCGCCACCTGAAGGTTTCACAGAAATCACCTGTATCACCGTGGTTCTCTTATCACATCAAGTTGCCATGGTACCGAGTTACCTGACACCCAATTTAAAGCAAACCGTATTTCCATAGGGCCTCGTCAGCCTCACTGTTGGCCGCCGCAGCTTGAAGTCCTGTGGGCGGGATGAACCATGGCATACTACCATAACAATTCTGCCGTCATCTGTTTAACTACCCGTCCTCTGCAGTCCTGGTATCAACCGTTCTCTGGCTAGTGGGCTTAACCAAACTCATACGCACAGAAGGGGTGAAGGCGTTGAGCTGTGCCTGGTTGTTCGACCAGGCGTGTACGTTCAGTCATATACACGGTGGGATCAGTGACAATGATAACTGGGTCACTAAGATCCACCCATTGTAGGCGTGAAGAGTAGGCGGAGAATTTAGTATCTATGTTTGCCGATGCGACCATGAGGAATGCCCCTGGCTTTGACAGACTTTATCATCCTCTATCCGAGAGTACTCATCTCCAACCAGCGCATAATTCCATTCTCTAGTACTTCTCTTAGTACGAAAGTTCACTTGTCATATGCAAAACGATAAAGAACAGATTAATTGCTAATGTATAGCAACTTGTCTCGATTCCTCAGCACGTTCCGAACGGCGCAATTCACAACCGGCCTTCTCCTCGTGCTGAGGACACTACAGTCATAGCTTCGTCAATCAGCGTCAACCAGGGTTCTACAGTCTAGTGGCGAGTGCATAGGGCATAGGCATAGGCAGTCAGGTAATCTCTGGTTCCGCTCTAATCTTCCACTGTACAGATCTGAATGATTCAAATAACAAAGTATGGTGGTGGTGGAGTCCACCGAAAAATTTCTCCTCGGGTGCTATCTTGTAAACAATGGTCCTAATTGAGAGTGCTTCGTGCAATCTAAACACACGGCCAGCACTAGGTAACGATCGCGCTCAGTGCAGCTCATTGGCCAGGTGCTCAAAATGTTAACCCTGTTTCACCTTCAGCTGCGATCCACCCTAGCTGTAATGACCAAGGGAAGATGGACTCTATATGGGAGCATAGCGTTGAGTACGAAAGACGTCGCAGATATCTCCCATCCGCTTGTGGTCCCGGTGACCAAAACGACTGCGGTTAACTCCTAAGCAATTAGCGGTTCATCTTGTGGTTTCCTAACGTAAACGTAGCACAATAATGGTGCTCAATGGTCTAGAAATGTAAAGCTGCCAAGACTTGAACTGCATGTATCTGCTTGGTTTGAAGGTTTGACTGCTGTCGGGAACTTATCACCTGCATAAAAAGAAGAGCATCCGGAGAGTCAGGAGAAAGCGAAGCACATTTTTTACTCTTTTAGGTGTTGACTGTTGTTTTTGGTAAGAATCATTCATTTCGCTTTCATATGTATAATGCTGTTTCGAACGCATTTCGGATGTTTTCAGCTTAGTACTTCCCACCAGAAACCGATCGTGTCTTGGGCTAGATAGCAACTCGGTTAGCGGGGATAGATACACCACAGCAATACCGACGGCACTCGTATGGTCACATCTGTTGCTGGGGCTTCTCACGGTTTTCATGTGTTCAACACGGTTATTAAAAACGGATCAAGAAGTAGTACACCACTGTTGAATTTTGACTAAAGGATGAATTATCGTTGATACAATGAAGTGTGGGTTGTTGAATTCATCGAGAGTTTCGCGTCAGCACAGATGTAAGTACCCTTGTCTCTAGTTTAAGAGGGCTTGATTATTTTACATTTGCTACCATCCGATGCGTGTAAGTTTTATGGCGCAAACTAAACCTGTTAGCTTTTCGTTGAGTCGTTTTTTGAATAGTCATACTGTGCGTGAAATTATTACGTGATTCGGAAGGGAGTTCCTGGGCGGGGACACTCGGAGGGGATACATTTAGTCGTCATTCCAGTCGGCTGTATTAGGGTCCCTCAGTTGCATGTTTTGGCTGAGTTTAACAATAATGGTGACAAGTGTGCTTTTGATTGTTAGGATCTGATACACCATTATGAGATCGTCTCGTACATGTTGGTAACGTCCACTGTACTCTCCTAAATTTTTCACCCCGTAGTGATGGAGAAGGTGAGGCAAGCCCTTAAGGTTCTTTGTTGCCTTGCGTTATGCAGTCTCTAGTGCGGTGAGATGGCACTTCTTCTAGGGCCGTCAGACATGAGTAGCACATCCCAAGTGCGGCCTCGTGTACGCACCAAACATTTACCAAAAGATTGAGGCATCAAAATTTCTGAAGGCTTTTAGCAGGAGGCCAAAATGATGATTTACTTAATTTGATGATGTTTCAGACTGCCTCAAACAGCAGGTCATGGGATTATGCCAACTTCACATTCATTAACAGGAACATGGGTTGGCCCCATTGATGAAACCTGGCTCACATCCACATGCCTCTCGGTCTTATTCCTTCTGGCTTACACTGGACACGTGATGTATGGATGGTGCCGTGGGTGATGCAACGCAAGCCACCCGTGTTTCAACTGAAGCCACAGGCGTACTGTGGTTGTCTTATGGAGACTATGGTGGCAGATAACTCTGGAGTCAGATGCCGTCGTACCATGTTCATAATCAGTTGACTTTTTGTCCTACATGGTGCGCTGGCGAGGTCGATCACAGCACTGATGTGCTCAGGGTACTAACTAGCGGGCGCTTGAACATGGCCAACCCACTCATAGGCAATTCATCATCGGGATGATCTCCTATGGCGTGATCGAAGCTGATCTCAGTGCGTTTATGTCGCCCTTCCTAATGCTACACCGATGTTACTTCCGGGTACCACTGCCGGTCCTTGAACTGTACCAGCTCAGTTGCTGTTTTCATAACCAACAAAGATAACCAACGAAGACTAAGGCGACAAAACAATTTTCTAAATAACATCACTGGTATCCGTGTCCTAGCGACCAGCATTTTTCTGTTTTCGTTCAATTTACAGATCATTCATCCGTTGTTCACGTGGGTAAGACCCAGATCAATCTCATTCTCGTTCATCCTTGTACCACAGGCATATTTGAAGTCCTCTGTGCCGGATGAACACCACAGTGGTTCAAATGGTCGCCTCCTCGGCATGCCCCATGCTCCGCATATGCGAAATCGGATGCTGCGAAAATTGATGCAGAAGGCTAAAGCACGTCTTTTGAGTACCATCCGGCACAGAATTGACACCTTACCTCATATCGCCGCCCTATGTGTTCCCCCCGTGTCAATCACTGCGATTGCATGGAGTCGTCATCTTAACTCGACTGAGGCTGAGACCAGATCACCGTTGGACTCAGTCAACACGGAGTCTGAAACGTGGTATGTAGATATTCGGATCAATGTGCCACCGAATGAATCATATGCGGACCACAGTTATCTATACTGTACACAAAAGGTGAGGGACTTACTACAGCGCTGCTATGACAAGCGCAGGAGTGAATCGGATTTCAGTTTTCTGTACAAGTAATATATACTGAAGGGAACACATGTATATTTCTTCTACGCAGTCAAAATCTAAAGTTTCTCTTGCCTCGTTGTATCGTAACTCCATCTTGCCATGTTTGCCACGGTTATTAGTCGACCCAGTAGGAATGAAGCACTAGCTGCACTACCGTCTGGGTGGAAATGCCTTTTTTGATTTCTCTGTCAATTATCACTTTCCATTAAAGCTATATTGTAAGCCATCCGCGGTGACAGCGTTTTGGTGCAGAAAATGCACCCGTATGAGCGTAGAAAGCTTATTACGTTGCATATCAAACATGCTTTCTCCGATTAGTTGCTTCGTTCGTAACGTACCTATGAGCAAACGAACGAAAATTATCGTAACCAGTTAAACCCCGACTGCAGTCGAGCATTACTCTCACCTTCGCCACTTGGCAGCACATGCAATGCACGCCATTTTGCTGGACAAATCTTCCCAGGGGGAAATCGACGTCAGAATCCGTTGTCAATTCGCCACTATGATGAACTTCTAAAGAAACTCAGGGATCTGTCGAGCTCCGGTAGGGCTACGGAATGATGCTCTCAGGCGCACTGTGGGATTCAAAGTCTCAGCAATTCTGTGCAGTATGTGGAGTGCGCATGACTACAGATCGGTGAGTAGCAGAAACCCTATACTTGGGGAGATTGTACCCAATTAACAAGAGAGGTACCTAGGAGCAATACATCAATATAGCTCCAAATGAATCTTCAGAGCTTCAGCTACCTTGGCCGAGTAAGATGAACTGAGGTGTTACAAAGTTCATAAAGCTAGCCGCCGGATTGATCTGATCCAGCAAGATGTGTTTTGTGCTACGAAATGGTTGAGAGGCTAGGCGGACACAGTGGTTTCCTTCCAGCCTTCACTTACAGGTGGAGATTTATGACTTGTTTGCGCGTGTAACGGAAAAGATAATGCTGACATGCTAGTGGCAAAGCGTTTCGGTTGACTTCTTCTTTCAGAACTCACTAGATGGCGCGGATTATCAGGCTACCATGACCGGGCAAAATGCCGAATGTGTTGTAAACTGAATGACAGTTAAGACGTATAACTTTTTCTTTTTCTTCTATCCTTCGCCTATAGGTGGATCTGTTAGGTTAGCTTCGCCGGGTTGATAAAAATGGCAATGGTAATGTGAGGAGATTATATAGTGATTCGGTTGGCTTCGCCTTTCATAACGCACTTGAAAGTGCGAACTGTCAGGTTGGCATAGCCGAGCAGAATATCAAATGCGTACGGAACGCGTAAGAAGTAATTTCTACACGGTTAATTTTTTCTTCACCTGCAAGTGTGACTTCTAAGTTGACACTTCCGAGTAAAACATACGGTATGTTTAGATGGGGCAAAGCTGCACCCTCTGCCATATATTATTAGGGACAGACGCTGTTAGCACATCTGTGCGTACTTGAAAATCGAATGTTTTCGTTATATTCTACGTGGCGAGAAATGCCTCAAAATTCGTCTTAACTTAGGTTAGACTCTCACTTTTCCGTACTTTTAATGGAGGTTTATCACATAAATGAGCATACCTTACCAGAAAAGAAGTTAGAATGGATGTTTAGTTTCACCTTTGGTGTAGATAGTGAGTAAAATCTGTTTCTTGTAGGGTGGATACAATGTTTTTGCAATATAAGAGCTGTTCCGGTCGTGTATGCCAGAGGTGTATACTTCTGTAGAAAAGGACCGTGGTTATTTCTCAGTCAGCGTAGCCACAGAGGATCCAATTGACAGCTGCGGCAGCTGTCTACATGGCTCATAGCGGCACATCCTTCAATGAGCACTTTCCTGAACAATCGTTAGATATTTTCTAATGCTATCTGATCTGTCCTAAGCAGGTGACTTTGAATGACTATGCAGTACTCCAGCATAGGTCTCACAATGAGCTTAAACATTTCTAGTCATGTACCAGGAAGGACGAAGGATTTAATGATATGGACTTTTAGTTGCCTTGCCTTTACTATCTGGTAAGATGATCGGAAAAGATGAGATAGAATGTATTACCCTAAGATCCCTTACCGAATACGAGATTGGAATGTTTGCTTTAGAAATGGTGATGGAGCCATCAGGTATACAGCATCCATGTCCAAGCATTTGCGATTTTCCAACAGATAATTTCATAGACCAGGTTTTACCCCACGGATTCCGCAAGGATAAATCCTCATGCACGTTCCGCATTTTATAGCATCACATTTGATGCCTTTATAGATTAAGAGAAGTAGTGGTCCAAACACACTTCCTTGAATGACTTCACTTGCGATTTCCTTCGGACAGGAGACGCGCTGACTGGTTTTAACTCTGTGTCCAATCTTCCAAGTTGTATCTGACCGACACAAATGGAACTGCTTGCAACTAGTTTAGATTTGTGATCTTCAGGCGTCCATGTTATCTCCCTCACAGCAGTAAAGTACACATCAGTGGACAAGGGGTGGCGATATACCACAATCAGCCACTTACCCAACTCAGTCGGGACTTAACCCTCTGTTTGCCGTGGGGTCATTATTTTGATTGCTCCACCGATAGCAATGGCATGCACGTTGTCTGCGAGTCATGGAAGAAAGAAACTGCCTTCAGTGCTTTTCGGAATCTTGATAGTCATCTGACTATGATAAATCCCATGCTGAGACTACGTTGTAGTTCGTTTAATTGCATATTCTAGGCTTCCAGTATGCTAATTTCCGAGTTATTTTGCACTCCGTAAACTGGAGCCAGAATGGCTGGAATCACTGCCCCCTACTCAGTCACTCAGCGGTATTGTATGTGGATCTGGTGTTTCATTACTATCTTCTCATTCATAGGTGGTCCCATCGGCTTCCACCTTACACGCTACGGTCCGGAACGCGTATATGCAAACGCAATCTGCCACTGTGACAATCGAGAGACATTGGTACCCAATAATGACCACTCATCCGCTACTTTTGAAGAACTTGCTTCAGGAGTTTCCGGATGAGGATGAACTGGTCGTCATTCCTTGTCTGTGCACCAGTATAGTCGCCGCGACTGAGGTTGGTCCAAAAGTTTATCATATACTAACTGTTTTCCCTGGTCTCTGAGTGCACAGAAGACATGTATTAAAAATCGCACAATATTAGTCACAAAACAACGACTCATAAAGCATAAGTAAACCGATGGCACCGCTAAGCCGTCTGGTAGCCAGCAGAAAAGATGCGCATGAATCACGATTTGTATGAACTTGTCTGTGCTCTACAAGGATTTACATCCATTCCGGATTTTGTCCGTTTCCACCACTATAAATCCTCTGTTCGGTTTCATTGGCTCTTCTTTTCTCTTAGCTTGTTGCCATCCTAGCCAATCACCTTGGCCCCACTAGTGAAGACTTCCCGTCTCTCCCACACTTCACTGAACCAATCGCGCCCCATCATTCACGCAATCATTGTCGACACTTGAACGTATTGGCAAACGCATGTATAGTTCTTTTTTGGATGACTGTTCACACATTCCATGTGCTATCCTTCCACCTAGTCTATCACACACAGTCACAGACATACTACGGTTACTAAGGGAAATGAGTATCACGATTAATCATTAAACAGAAGGATAATGAACTGATCAACTTTCTACGATGTTCATTCCACTACCCGTGGGGTTATCGAAATCTCGTTAAGCTACAGTGTAGTCGTGGGCGTCGCTCAATGAAAGTATTGAGAGGCTGAATTTTTAAGACCACAACTATGTACAGGAAGTTGTTCATATCCAGCGGAGTCAACAGCTAATGAGTACTGCGATTCGGAATGTGTTTGCTGTAGGGAACAGACCTGCGATCCAGCATCGGATGGTCTGGAGCACTTGCCACCGTGACAGCTGGTTCAGCTAGTTTGCATAGTTGATTGTTGACTACTTCGAGTTCTTGCTGAAGTAGGCCACAGTCATCGAAGCAGTACCATAAATAGGGTAACACAAAGAATTAAGCAATGTTCTATCTGCTTGTTTTCGACATTTTGTTTACCAATCCGTATTTCACCCCATTTTGTCGGCTTGCTGTTTTCGCTAACGGCCTTGCAGGCAAACGTTTTCAGGTTTACGTGCAGTGTTGTTTCTTGATCGCCATTTCCCAGTTTTGTATTTTATCGACTACGCAGAATACCAACACTGTTGTAACCTTCGCTTTTTAGGCCCACAAAGCCAGCACAGTTTGTAACAGAGCTAGCTGTACTGTACTTTGCCAGTGACAGATGAGTCTGGCGGTATGCAGTGCGATGTCTGCAACAGTCGGTCGCATTGGATCTGTACCGGACTACATGCCGAACGGTAGGCAATACTATTCACAAGCGAAGTATTGCTTTTCAGCCAAGTCTGTTGTTGTGGATGGCTGTGAAACTGCTCAGGATTTTTTACTAGCGACCACGTATCGCTTGATGACAGATTGCAAACGATGGTGTAAGCCGTCGTTGTTGTCATCATTGTGGTCACCACTCTTGACCGCAAGATGGTTTTGCTCATGAAAGCACTTGCGAGTCTTAGTGATGGCATTCTGATAGGCTGCGATAAACCTAATAGTCCTGGCGACCAATCTGTAACCCCAGCCATCGTGTCAAACGCCTGGCTGCAGTGGATTATATTAATAAAGTTGCTAAGGACAGAGTAAATGACACTATCCACAGCGATGTTGAGTTGCGGGTCTATGCGCCCGCTAGACTGAAGTGATAGAGGGCCAAGAAAGTGCGCAAGCCCTCTGCCGGATTCGAAGCTACAACTGTCACAGCACTGCAAGAAAGACATGCTATAGTCATTCGGAAAGTGGTTTATGCGTTGATGTCAGCTCCTTTATGCACTACTTCTTGTTAGTCGGAGATGTCGGCCACAACGGCTGACATCTCGTAGACAGTTTGTGACAACATACTGGATTCCGTTCAGCTTGACGCTGTCACGAGTCCTTGCACTTTTTAGGCAGAAGAGGCGGCGGGCTAGATCTACCCGTAAACCATTTATCAGGCTCTAAGGCGCAGAAAATGATACGACATTGCAACTAAAACCCAAAGCCCAAGCTACCGTTGCTTCGGCGTCTTCCGACAGGAAGCAATCAGTACCAAAGTATGTGGTAAGATCAACTGGTATCAGTATGGAGTCAAGAGTCCCTGGGGTAAACACACCCGTAGTGGTGAATCTTGCATGAATTATGGCGTTATACTCCGTAGTGCAGTGGGATTCACAGCAGTTCTTCCTGTACAGCTCATTTTTGATGATCTTCAGTGGTTTAAAATGTGCTTGATGAAGCTTCTTTCACTGGATTTTCCCGGTGTTACTGTCAGGAAGCTGACTAGACTGCGAACCGCCTCAGTCGGCACACCAAATCCTCAAGATCACCCACTTTATATGTTCCTCTCTACACCTGAGGAACACAACTGTTATTGAGGATTGCTTTTAAGCTCAACGGCAGTAATACTGGTATACAGCCAGATCTCCCACTTGCGGATTGGCTGAACTTAGAAGTGACTATCAGTGATCACAAGAGCAGGGAAGCGGTCGGTGAACATGGCTTTCGTTCGGTATGTTTTCATGTGATCAGCGAGCGGTCTATTTACAGCTTACTGCAGCCCGTTCTGGTAGCATGTGATCTAGGTCTGGTCCTACTGAATTCCTTCAGATAGTGCTTCGAAATTTGCGCACTGCAAGGAATATGATGTACGAGTTACGACTGCTTCAGGATAGGTCTCATCCCGAGATACTTGCTTCCACTAAAACGTGTTTGTCCCAGGATATCACGGACGGTGAGTTACGCTTACCTGGCTGGGCAGCGTTTAGGTCTGATCGCTCCGTTAGTTGACAAGGCAGAGGTATATTTCTTCACGTGAGCAGCAAATCTGATGTTTATAGTACCGGCTTGTTTTAGTCGATGGACGAAACTGCCGAGGCTTTACTAGCTGTGCTTAGCAACTTCTCTATTCATATTACAATTGTAGCTGGGTATGGAAACCCTGATGATGTTTCCAAAGAGGTGTTTGGTTTTGTTCTCTCCCCGAATGCACACAGGTGTCAGGTACGGTGTGAACTTAATCTCCCGGTGGTTTGTGGTTACTTCTTCTTACAGCTCAGCTCCAGGCACCTCCGGTGCAAATCTCGCGCTTACGCTACAAGTACCGTTGCATCAATTCGTGGACTTCACCACTAGACACATAGACTCACAAGTATCGTCTATTTCTGATCTTGTTTTCACTGTTACGTAATTTTTTAGGTCATATTGCTAACGACTCATCTCTGGGAGCCGGTAATAATGAATGTTTATTCTTTTGTCGTGCACTGGTTAGAAGTCGCTAGAGTACCATTTTGTTATATATCAACAAACGGAACGCTCACTATAAAACAACACAAACCAAGGCTTCTGGTTTGCGTTGCCAGATCTCGACAACCGGTACTGTTCATATAGCCTAGAATAAAATCAAGACCTACCTCACTGATATTTTGCTCCTGACATCCTGCTTACGATTAGAAAGGAAACACTAGCATAGATGATAGGTAGGTGTTGAAAAGCGGTGTAGATGCTGGAGGAACTACCGAATCGCCCCATCAACCAACACCTATGACAGCTACCAAGAAGCTAGAAATAAGTGTAGTCAGCACTTGAGAACATCTCGGCTCTTGTACCAGAAGGGTTTAGCCGGCTCCGCTGTGCCTAATCCCAGGAAGTTCATTACTTGTGTCAAAAGACGCTGTGATTCGAATTCGTAATTTCCAGAACTGATGAGAGGCGAAGCAATCCATGCGTGCTCTAACTACGATAAAGCTTGTGTATTTAGTGGGTAATGTGCAGAACTTTTAATCCCTGAGACTTTGCTGAAAAGCATTGAACCGGTTTTGAGAGTCCAAGAGAGTTCGTGCTTAGGTGAACTTAGCGTAACGGATACGCAAATCTTTAGGTTTCTGCACGGGCTGAGCCCTTCTAAAACACCAGAACTTAAATTAAATTCTTCCCAGTCTGTCACGTAAGTCGGCTGCGCAATCAAATTTCACTCACGATCGGGTTTCAGAAATTATTTGACAGATGTATGTTACCTTCGGGATGGAAAAAGCTGTCATCTATCCCATTTTCCAAAATGACGACAGCAACCTGTCTGTTAATTACAGGCCAGCCAGTCTGAGTAGCGCGTCAGTCAAACTGCTCAAAAAGCAAGTGGGAGCTTCTTTGGAGGATCCTCTGAATTAATTTGATCTAATCAGCAGTGCACAACACAGATTATAGAATGGATTTTTGCTTTTGTCGTATTTACTGGTAGCTCGTAAGAGTTTGGCGGATACAGTGGACAAAGGCAACATAGTGGACGCGTTGTTCGTCGATTTTTCGGAAGCATTTGACACTATACCCTACTTAAGGCTACCACAAAAACTGAACTCTTGCGGTGTATCTGGGTGCTTGCACTCTCGCGGGAAAGAGAGAAGTGTGCACGCGTTAGTCGCAAACTATAATTTAGGCATGCTGTCCTCAGCGGTGTCCCACAAGGCTGCATTCTTAGACGGCTGCTTTTCCCTGTGTATTTGAACGACTTCCCCGTAAAGCTTGAGATCCCATCAGTATTTGTTGCTGATGATCTGAAAACATGGAACATTGTGGATGTTCCTGAAGGTCTTGACGCGATCTAGCATGTCCTGGATAAGCTTCGGAATCAATCTGCTTTATGGCTCTTGTCCACAAACTAAGCAAATTGTTTCGCTCTTCGTATTGGAGCAGTTTGCCAACCCTCGAGGTATGTGCTCGGTGGCGTCGAACTCTACCTTATCTCCAATCAGTTTGATCTAGGCATCGTTTACTCTTAGACTCTACATTTGGGTGACTTTTGGAAGATGGCCGTATGTTGTGGTCAGTACGCCATTCCTTCGGAATCTTGACGGCAGATATCTTTGTGAAGCTGTTCTCAGCTTCCCTCCGACCCCATCTGGAATAATGCATCTAGAATTTAAGCATACAATTCAGCGAAGAAATTTCTTTTCGGCTATACTTATCAGGCAAATAGATCCACCTCGAATCCATGAACTACCCAAATTGCACACATCACATATTCCCTTGCATCCGGTTACTGACATGTCTGCCTCCGCCTTCTATTCGGTCGGGAAATGGATTGTGAAACGGTTGGAACCGGCGCATGAATTATTGTGAATTCACCCTTTAACTGATTCTTTTGATTCTGGTCTACCAGTGGAAATATTGTGGGTGGCTGGGAAAGTGGAGCTCTCGTTCGATGTCGAGTCAGTTTTCACAAATGTTTCACTGCTTAACATTGGCAATTTTATCCATGATTACTTGACCGAAAATCATATTGACATTCGTCTCTTAGTGATTACATTGAAGGAACTGATCTTACCATGCACTTTCAACAGACGATTCATATTTGAAGGTTGCTATTATAGACAGATAGTGGATTTACAATGGGATCACCCCTAGGATGTTGCCTGCTGAAATTTTTCTCGCTAAGCTTTAACATGAACCTCTATAGACCAATTATCGCGTCACATGATTCTTACTGGAAGTACACGGAGGGGATCTTTATAATTTGTGATTCAGACGCTAATGTTGCCCTTCTATTTGATAAGTTCAGTATCTGGCGCTTCTCTTGGAAGTTTACAAGGGAAACTGAAAGCGAGTGATAGCTAGCTTTTCTGGACGTACTGCTAAGCAGACGAAGGATTTCTCACTCCAGAGAAATATCTATCGAAAATCCATTTCGATTGGGATATACACCGATTTTCATAGCTTTGTGCCCTTGGAGTACAAACGGAATTTGCTTCATTGTCTGTATTATCGTGCCCACAAAATTTGTAATCTATAAACTTCGAGATGCATAAAGGACTGAATCCTTAAGACATTACACGTCAACAGCTTTCCTGCTTCTTTCCTTCGGAGGCCCTCCGTGTTCCGTGACCGACGAGAAGCGGCCTTCACAGTGCCGAGAAAGAATGCTCATTTTGCAATCCCTTTCAAAGGATATGTCCCCTTTGGGTTACTGAACAGCCAACTCAAATGCACTAGCCAAGTGGTTCCGTGCTGCCTACCCGCAGGTTGCTGCAGAAACAGCCCCAGTTTTGGCCCAGTGTCTTATGGATAGACTCCCGGTCCAGTCCGAATTGGTTATCGTATATCACTTTACTTGCATCTCGGACACACGATCAGATGGTTGATGAAACTTATACCATTGATCAGCGGCGTTATGAGTGCATAGAAGTATCAATAGTGCTGTTTTTAACATTTAGTCCAAAGCGGGCATCAAGTTTTGGCCACGGAAGGTTTCACGCTTTTCTACATTGTGCTAAAACGCTTCGCAAGAGAGCTTAGAAAACGCCTATAATGACGGTCGAGAATATTGTGATCAGGCTAATGCAACCTGAACTGCACAAACAGTTCAGGCACCTCTTTTGCCGTGTGTTGGAGGTGAAAGTAAAATACAGGTATGCATCTGTAGCCGTTCATGACTGCAGACTTTCTTTCTACCATGGAGGTTCACCGATATTTGTTTTAACGCATCGTTTCGTCATCCCTATTGGCTATTTGTAGTCGTTGTTTTTGCTTTCAGATCGCAAGCATACTTGGACGCTATCACTCTCACCTTAGGTCCTTTGTGTGTACTTGGTTGGTTCCCCATCTGTTCCGTTCTTATTGGCTTTACTCGTCCGCTTGCTTTCCGCACCCTGGTTGGCTTTCATGATTGTGCGTTATGCTATATAAGTAACTGGTTTCCCTATGTAAAGAGCCCTTGAATCTCTGTCCCTGATCGCTCGTGTTCTCACTAACGTTAGTGGGTGGAAACAGTCGCAGGGCTCCGACACAAGACCGTGGCCGTGATTTCACAATGAGCGCCGTTCACTTCGATCACAGGCGGACTCAGTTGCCCCGCCACCCCATCGAAGTGACGAACCGTGTATTGTGTGCTTGTGTGTATGCACCTGTGCGTGACCACCAACATCGATGAGAGCGTCGGATCGATGAACAATTCAACCTGTTTAGACTTGATCAACCCTAGCCTAGAATTTTAACGTCCTGTTGCACTGTTTCAGCCAGTTTTCTATATGTATTAGCCTGATAAGAATGTCGAATTGAATGCTTACATCTCTGTGGGCGTCTAGGATTATCCGCCATACCCAAGTGGGAAAATATGGAGTCGGGGTGGGTCATACGAGTGGGTGTCGCGCTGGTCGAGGGATCATGAGGACAAGCGTGCCCCAATCGCCTACTTAGTTTCGTGATGCATTCAATGCACTACCCAAGGCTTAGAGGAGATCTGATCTTCATCTATCGCATATTAACTAGAATTTGTCTTTAGTAGTTTAGTCGGGCCAGGGAATCTGGTTTCCCCAGTCATCTTATGGAGCTAAACAAGCCGCGCACTGACCGAATTAGGTCAGAAACTCGGTTATTGTATCGAACGCCGGAACTCGCTACCAGAATGTGATAATACTTTTAGAAGTTTTGAGCATCATTTGGATGGTAACAGAAGACTTTTCATTGCGCCGACCAAGTCCCACCCTCAGATTTCGATTTTATTTTCTGTGCTTTCCTTAAGCATCAGTACCAGGTGCTTCTGAAAAATTCGGTGAATCGTCCCACATGTTTACAAATCGCTCTGGTTAAGCTGAGCGGCACCTGCATACGCATTGGGAGACATGTCAACGAGACCCTCTGGCATGCAAATCACCGGAGTGAAGCGGTGGTGAACGATGTTACTCATGTCATTACAAAATGGATGGCAAAGTGGAGCAACGGGTTAACACGACGTTTTGTTTTAAATTGGGCAAAACGGTGATGGTTACTACTAAAATGTTAGTGCATGTGTACAGTTTTAAAGCCGTGGGTAAAATGTATCTGTTTGAATGGTTTTAATGCTTTAAAAAGGAAAATGAAGGTACCGAGGATGAGCTGCCTTCGGGTCGACCGTCAACAAGCGTACTCTTAGACAACATCGAATGCCCGTCCGCACACTGCAACCCGAGTGATCAACTTTCTCGCTCAATGCAAGGTGGCTGTTCTTCAACCGCCTCTTTATGCTCCAGCTTTGGCGCTGATAGACTTCTCTTTGTTTCTTCACCTTAAATTAGCTCCGAAATGTTGCGCTTCACAGACGTTGGGGATCTCCAACAACGCGTGACAACAGTGCTTCGAGTGATTCCACAAGAAGCGCTTCTTGACGGTTTCCAACAGCTTTACAACCGGTCAGAAGTGTGTTGTAGCTAATGGCGATTACTTTGAAGGCCAGTAAAGGTAGTTAGTTTGTAATCCGTTTCCCTTATTTTCTGGGACCATTCACCGAACTTTTCAGACGCAGCTTATGTTCTCTTTTGTTCATTTGCATATTTTTCCCCATACACTTCGAACTTTTTCCCAATCTCATTTCCTTCAACTAACCAAGACGGCAAGGGCTGACAGTATAGGAAAAAGGGGCGGTAACTGGCTATCTGGGGTGCGACTCGAGTGTTGCGTTTTAGAATCATCAACTTCACACAATACCTGATCCATTAATATGAATCAATATCAGAAATCAGTTCCGGGTGAAGAATTCTTTTCGGTAACTCTCATCGGACCCAAACATTTACAAATCACGGATACTGTGGGATAAGCGTCAACTCGGGCTTGGATTTACTTCTAGATTGTTTGAATGATCGCACGGCAAGGCGCCTATCTCAGAGGATTCGTGAACACATCCCGGCATGGTTTTACAAAGGCAAAATGAGGTCTTCAGACAGCTCAGTCATGTCACACCTCCTTGAATGTGGCCACATAGCTTCAGAGAATGACTTCAAAGTCAGTTATTCACTACCTGAACACTACACTCAAGGATTTCGCAAACAACTCTTATCCATCGCCGAGGCTATCTACATTCACCAGCTGAAGCCAGAATTATGTAGACAAAAACGATTCATACGGCCGATACTACTACCTTGGCTAACGGACACTGTTACCTAGTTATTTGGCTGTTCTTTTACCTACTTAATTACTTTGGACTATTGAGCTTTGCGTACGCATGTGTATTTAGTTTACTTGGTTTACCATCGCTATCTATGTCTCAAGTTATCGATTTTGATCATTCAAACAGCCCAGAAGTAAATCCCAGCCCGAGTTGACGCTTACCCCACACTATCAGTGTTTTGTAAACGTTTGGGTCCGATGAGAGTTACCGAAAAGAATTCTTCACCCTGAAGTGATTTCTGATATTGATTCATATTAATGGAATGGGAATCTTTGCTTTGCTGAAGACCAGCATTGCCTGTGATTCATTAAACCTCATCCATTACTGACTCAACGATCCGTTCAGGAAGAAGTGCTCAGGGGATTTTTCTATCGTTTTAGTCATACTTGAATTTGACATAGCTACTTTATATGCAACATAGGGCGGATTACTAGTAGGATAGGGCAGTGGAGATAAAATATGACTATTCCCGGTTACACGCATCAAAACACCCTTATGATAGAAGTTAAGGTTAAGTTCTAAATCTGTGGCTGCAGAAGTAAAAGCTTACTTTGCCAGACATTTCCGGAAGAGATGGTTACGCAGTCGAAGTAATCAGCATTTTCGAACATCGACTCTAATTGCACGTTCAGTATGGCTGTCTGAACTTGGACGGTAGCTAGGTGAAGTAAAACATTCCTCAGGGTTCGACAGCTAAGGTGTCTCATAACTGAACTCTTCCCTCTTCTCATTCTACCTCAGCTTCTGAACGGAGCGGTTGTTCTACTCTTGGACAAACGATACCTTCCAACAGCCTCCATGATCCTTCCATTCCTTCACCGCCTGTGTGAGCGACTTCATGAACTCGCCATGACGACTCCGTCGAGGGTAAAAAGCATCAACGAGGCATGCTCCAACGCGACTACCCGTTCTTTCGCAGTTGTGTCCGAGTTTGTCCACTGTATCTGTGGGCATCTGAGTGCACTGTACACAGGGGAGGAAAAGCTACACAAAACGCTTATATTAGCCACTCTCACAGATCCTCGAATCAATTCGAACTGCCTGCGAACACAATGCAAGGTAAATGTTCTTAGCGTTGGGTAATACAGTACATTTCGGTGGTTAATGCTCGTTTGGCGTCTGATCAATGGTTTGGCGGCTATAAGAACTATCCACATTTTGTAATCTGCGTTTTCGTTCTAGTGACTCACGTAGTTATACTCACTCCACGGACTCTGATCCGCAATCCTGATCATTGGACAGCTATGGTCACCCCGATCCAGTAGAGCAGTTGCATGCAGTGATCAATTTGCTGCGCATGTGTCCTCTCCCTCTCTCAAACTTGACGTCATCACAGAGGCCGTTTGAACGTTGTCTTTAGTTGATCTCAGTCCCTTCCATCTTCAACTCGGTGGTACAACAAGCTTCAGTCATGAACTATTCCTTTCCGGCTGTTTCATTCTAATACCTGTATGGGTCATTTGTGTGCCCCATGCTGAGGTTGAGGTTGCATTCTTGATGCTTCTTCACCGCAGTTGGGCTAAACCAACTTACACTTCAATTAGGTCTTTTTAAGCTGGATAAATTTCATTCCGCTTTATTTGGTTTGTTCTGCCTCCCTGAATAATGTTCTATTAACTGGCCACGTTGCTTACACTAATTGCGCTTATCTTCGGTAATTTTGTTGAGTTTGTAGCATTTTAAGTAACTTGTGGACATTTCTTACTTATCACGGATTTGTTGCTGACCAACTTACTTCATATGGTAATTTAGCGAAGAGTTATGCCACTGTATCTGTGTGCATTATTGGATTTATTTTATTTCAGCTTGTCGTTTAAAACGACTAGCTGTTGTATGATATCCCCAGTTTGGCTGCGCTTGATGTGCATATTGACAAGCTGCCTACCTGTCTATTACCCACTAACTCGTTCCTACTGGCTCCAGGAGACAGTTTGTCGTTGCTGGAGGGGACGGGGTGCACGGTTCTTGTGGCCGTGCTAGGCTCAAAGAGTGGTTCCATGCACTCAGTGTGGAGCGGACTACTGTCCAGCCACCGCGTTGTGTGCACGTGATTCCCCAAATGCAGTGTGCGTGTGTTTGCCAGTGAAGGAGTGTGGGCCGGCTCCGTTGATGAAATGTGGCTCCCATCCACATGCCTCCCGGTCTTATTCTTTCGGTTTTACACTGGATATGGGGTGTGTGGATGGAGCTGTGGGTGGTGCAGCGCAAGCCATCCATGGTCCCTCTGTAGGCGCAGGCGTCCTGTGGCTTGCCACAGTGACAGGCAAATCCGAAACCGGATGCCGCCAACCATGTATGTATGTGTGCCCCATGCTGAGGCTGATGTTGCATTCTTGATGCTTCTTCACCGCAGTTGGGCTAAACCAACTTACACTTCAATTAGGTCTTTTTAAGCTGGATAAATTTCATTCCGCTTTATTTGGTTTGTTCTGCCTCCCTGAATAATGTTCTATTAACTGGCCACGTTGCTTACACTAATTGCGCTTATCTTCGGTAATTTTGTTGAGTTTGTAGCATTTTAAGTAACTTGTGGACATTTCTTACTTATCACGGATTTGTTGCTGACCAACTTACTTCATATGGTAATTTAGCGAAGAGTTATGCCACTGTATCTGTGTGCATTATTGGATTTATTTTATTTCAGCTTGTCGTTTAAAACGACTAGCTGTTGTATGATATCCCCAGTTTGGCTGCGCTTGATGTGCATATTGACAAGCTGCCTACCTGTCTATTACCCACTAACTCGTTCCTACTGGCTCCAGGAGACAGTTTGTCGTTGCTGGAGGGGACGGGGTGCACGGTTCTTGTGGCCGTGCTAGGCTCAAAGAGTGGTTCCATGCACTCAGTGTGGAGCGGACTACTGTCCAGCCACCGCGTTGTGTGCACGTGATTCCCCAAATGCAGTGTGCGTGTGTTTGCCAGTGAAGGAGTGTGGGCCGGCTCCGTTGATGAAATGTGGCTCCCATCCACATGCCTCCCGGTCTTATTCTTTCGGTTTTACACTGGATATGGGGTGTGTGGATGGAGCTGTGGGTGGTGCAGCGCAAGCCATCCATGGTCCCTCTGTAGGCGCAGGCGTCCTGTGGCTGACCACAGTGACAGGCAAATCCGGAACCGGATGCCGCCAACCATGGGTCATTTGTGAGTTCGATTGCAGCTACCGTGAGTATGTATGCGAGCACCGAATCGCATCTAGTTATTGAATCCCACGTACGTTTTATTTCCATTATATGATGAGATGGTGATAAGTGCCTGACTTTGACCAGAAAGAAGAGTTCCAGAGTCATGAAATGACACATTTATTCAATATTTTCATCCCTGGGTCTGATGCATTTGCTTCGGCATATTTGCAGCTTTTCTAGACCGGTAAGGTAAAAGTCCTTTGGTCTTCCCTCAGATCAGCCGTCAGTAGCATGTTTGATTTCCGTAATGTCTTCATACGTCGTTCCTTCAAATATTTCTTCAAGTTCCGGAAGATATAGTAGTCTGTCGGGGACAGATCAGGTCGAAGAAAGTGCAGAAGTCTTATCGTAAGGTTAATTCTAGAAGGGGCGGCGCTGAGTCTCTCTCCATAGTTGCCGCATTCCAAAGCGAATGTAAACCGAGAAGACGATTCATCACTGTGTTGATCAATGGGATTCCAACCAAACTGCAATTTGACACGGCCTCAGACATCACAATCATTTCCAGGCGCACATGGAATCACATAAAGAGGCCGAAGATCGTCGACTCTCAGAAAGTTGCACATAATGCATCCGGCGGTGTGTTACGCTTAGTGGGCGAACTCAATTGCAAGATTGCTTTCCAAGGTGTGGAAAAGTCGGGAACATGCTACATTTCAGACAGGCCGAATTTGAACCTTCTTGGCCTCGACTGGATTGAAAAGTTGAACCTCCTCGATGTTCCCTTGAATCAGATCTGCAACCGAGTTCGAGCAAGTCCAGACCCATCTGCAAAGTCCGTCGAAGACATGACACGTACCCTGAAGCGAAAATTTGCTTCTGTCTTTCAGGATGGCTTGGGCCACTGTACGAAATTCAAGGCAACTCTGAACTTGCGACCAGGCGCTAAACCAGTGTTCAAGGCTAAAAGACCGGTACCATATGCAGCCATGTCAACCGTTGAGCAAGAGCTCGATCGACTGGAACGTGCCGGAGTCATCACAGCCGTCAACTACTCATCATGGGCCGCACCTATTGTCGCAGTGAAGAAAGCAAATGGCAAGGTACGCTTCTGCGCTGACTTTTCAACTGGCCTCAACGCCGCGCTGGATGACCACCAGTACCCCTTACCTGTGCCGGAGGATATCTTTGCAAAGTTGAATGGTGGTAAATACTTTGGTAAGCTTGATCTATCCGACGCTTATCTGCAAGTGGATGTTGACGAAGACTCGAGGGAGTTGTTGACGATCAACACTCATCGTGGGTTATTCCAATACAACCGCTTGCCATTTGGTGTGAAAACGGCGCCAGCCATCTTTCAACAGTTGATGGACACCATGCTAGCGGGAGTTTCTGGAACCGCTGCTTATCTGGACGATATCATAGTGATGGGTCGAACACCGGAAGAACTCTTCAACCGCTTGGATGAAGTGCTTGGTTGCATACAGTCGTACGGCTTCCGGATCCGTGAGGATAAATGCACCTTTTTCACGCCGCTCATCAAATACCTCGGGTTTATCCTCGAAAGGGATGGACGTCGACCAGATCCGGAAAACATCGAAGCCATTAGAAAAATGCCTCCACCCACAGATCTACAGTCTCTGCGTTCCTTTTGTGGGCTCATCAGCCACTACAGCGCATTTTTGCCTGAGATGCACCGCTTGCGTGCCCCGTTAAACAAGCTTCTATCCAAAGGACAACCTTGGAACTGGACAGCAGAATGTCAGAATGCCTTCGAACGTGTCAAGTCACTGTTGTCTTCAAACTTGCTTTTGACACATTTCGATCCCTCCAAAGAGATCGTCCTAACCACAGATGCATCAAGCCATGGGATTGGTGCAGTAATTGCACACACGTACACCGATGGATCTCAAAAAGCAATCGCCCATGCCGCCAGAACCCTTACCAAGGCCGAGAAGAACTACAGTCAGATCGAGAAAGAAGCATTGGCCATAGTGTACGCGGTTAAGAAATTCCACAAAATGCTATACGGCCGCCGCTTCAAGCTTCTGACAGATCACAAACCCTTGCTCGCTATCTTTGGTTCGAAAAAGGGCATCCCGGCCTACACCGCCAACAGGCTACAACGTTGGGCTCTTACCTTAATGGGGTATGATTTCGAGATCCAATATCAGTCGACAATTTCCATTGGCCAAGCAGATGCACTGTCACGCCTAATTGATACCCGTCAGCAAGAACATGAAGACACAATCATTGCCTCGGTGGAGATTGAACCAGACGTCAACTTTCTGGTAACTGATGCACTGCACTGTCTACCAGTTACCGCAGAAGCTGTACGGACCGAAACACTTCGGGACCCAATACTCAAGAAGGTTACTCAGTTTCACAAAACAAGTTGGCCACGTTCATGTCCATCCGCCGAGTTGCAACAGTATTTTCAGAGGAGACACTCGCTGTCTATTGTAAACGATTGCATACTATTTTCGGAAAGAGTGGTCATCCCCAAGACACTTCAGGAGCGCCTTATTCGACAGTTCCACGCCGGGCATCCTGGAATCAACCGGATGAAGGCGCTTGCCCGCAGTTATGTATACTGGCCCTTAATGGACAAACAGTTAGAAGAAATAGCCAGACGCTGCCAAAAGTGTGCCGATGTCTTGAAAGCACCACCGAAAGCAGAACTCTGTTCATGGCCAATAGCTACTAAGCCGTGGTCCCGCATTCATGTCGACTTTGCAGGGCCGATCAACGGGAGAAGTTTCCTCATTATAGTCGACTCATACAGCAAGTGGCCAGAAGTATTTCTCATGGATAACACCACCACCAATGCCACCATATCGAAACTGCGCCAAGCCTTTAGCAGATTCGGTTGTCCTGAGACAATGGTCACTGACAATGGCTCACAGTTTACTTCAGCAGCGTTTAAGGAGTTTTGCA